TAGTGAACAGATCCCTGCTTTACACCAGTTCCACCTCCTTTCAAGAACAAGCTAAATAATCATGAATACCTTTCTGTCAAGCGGTGGTATTTACTTTTCAAGCTAAGACCCAAACCTAAAACAAGCACATACCGGGGCAAGGGAGGTTTACTTCTAGTATAAAGCATGTCAGTTCAAGAAATAAGAAGGTATGTCATACAGCATACTGATGTAATTTTTGTGGTGACGCTGGCCTGCTTACTTGTGAACTTTTTAAGTCTTCTCCATTTGTGTTAGGGTTGGAGTGTATCCCCCTTCTCTCTTCCACCGTTGACGAGGGCTCACAGTCATAGGATAGCCTGCACCGTGGATTTCGCATGGTCATCCTACCTGGGAGATGGCACCCTCTCTACCTCACCGCCTACCCTCCAAACTCTTCGCCCAGGAGATGGACGAAACGCAGCTCCCTTTCAGCGGCGACGCAACCAGACGCAGGCGGCAGAGCGAAAGCAACAGAGCGGCTTTGCTGGTGGCCCTAGCATCGCACTGGACAGCCCTCTGCAAACACACGGCTACCGTATCTGTTCCGGTGCTAGCATTTATGAGGCTTACGGCTGCAAGCGAAGGCGCAGCTTTCCCACGGTACACAGCGACCATGGTGGTCCCCGGCTCCCCTAAAATTAAGCAACCGCCTCTCGTCCGAACTGCGCTGTGATTGACAACACGCTTTCACGCGCGTCATCTGATGTGACCCTCACGCCAAGCCTGTGCAATGAGCGTTGTTGTCCTAGTGCCTGTTTTACAGCTGAGGAAAGGATCCAGCCCGCAGACCCAGTCCTGGGAAGGGCCGCAGCTTCCGGGCAGAGCAGAGCAGGTGTGACGCTCGCGGCTCGCAGCCTCTCACCTGGCGGGCGGACTGGGCCACCGCCTCAACTCAGCTGCTGAGGACGCGGGCCCGGCGGCGGCGGCCGCTCGGGGTTCTCCGAGTCCTCTCTATCTCCGCCTGCGCCCGGCCCCAGACCCCAGACCCGAAAGGGCTTCGCGCTCTCCCGCTCAGGCTCACCGTCCGATCTCGCCAGACAGCGTCTGGAATGACGGGGAAATGCCGCGTCCGCCACAGCCGTCCAGGGTCTGAGACCCACGCTCCAAGGCGACGGTAGTGGCGGTCACCAGAAGGCCTGCGGGTTCCCGGGAAAGAAAAACCCGGTCCCCATCACAAGGATGACAAGCCCCAGTCAGCCAAAGCGCCGCCCGCTTCCGCTTCCCCGCCTACACCGTGGGCTGTTCAGCCCCGCAATCGCGGGGGGTTGTGGGTATCTCGAAGGCTGGCGGAGCTACAAGGGAAGGAAGTAGTGGCGGAGCCAGCCGCACTACGCGGCACGGCAGAAACTACAATTCCCAGCAGTCAGCGGGGCCGCAGACGGCAACCGCGGAGATCTAGTAGGAGAGCTGTGCGCGCGCGGCGGGGATGGAACGTTGCTAGAGTTGGCGGGTCTCGCTGCTGGGGGCCGGAGCCACAAGCCTTGCACCGCCGCGCGCCAAAGCGGGAATCCGGGATTAATGCACTGCAATTAATGCACGCATTTAAAACTCCCGAACCTGTAGACGCCATGCACAGGTAACTCGATTACAAAAAGAGGCAGGACATGAATGGACTGTCTTAATTCATTTAGGCCATGAATATTGCTATTCGCTAATATTGTTAATAATGCTGTAATGTGAATGGCATAGTCCCTTTTTGGAAAAGAGTGGATGGATGGATGCCTTAGTGCGGTGACCAGAGTGTGGTTTCACTGGTCTTTCCTTATTGAGCTTTCCTGCTAGTTTTGAATTGCTGTATGATTTCCCTCCTTTCCTTGTCTGTTCCCTCCTCTTGAAGAAATTCTTGAGGCCTTCTGCATGATCGTAAATCAAAAAGCCTTTTCGATTTGTTCGGTTATTTTATCTTTCATTCTTGGGAACTTGCCTCCGGCACGTAAAGAATGTAATTCTGTTAGCTGCTGCAGAGGTTTTCTACATTGCATAACTTGCAGTTTCCTTTAGGCCTACCAGTTATTATGGGTGTGTTTCTGAAAGGGGCTATTGTGCATTGCTACAGGAAACACCTCCAGGAGATTCCCGACCAGACTAGCAACGTTACCACCAGCTTCACGTGGGGATGGGATTCTAGCAAGACTTCTGAATTGCTGTCAGGCATGGGGGTCTCCACCCTGGAGAAGGAGGAGGTGGACAGTGAGAACATCCCCCAGGAACTGCTCTCAAACCTGAGCCACCCGCAGAGCCCCCCACGAAAACGGCTGAAGAGCAAAGGGAATGACAAGGACTTTGTGATCGTCCGCAGACCCAAGCTAAATCGAGAGAACTTTCCAGGTAAGGTGTAAGGGTAAAACTGTCAGTCACAGAAGGGGTTGGTTGATCTATTTTGCTGGTAAACCTTTGTTTGGGGGTCTTTAGGATGGGTCCCTTTAAAAAATGCCTCATTCTGAAGTTATTTCTGAAAGAAATGGAATAACTCCTCACTGAAGTCTATAGGAATCTTAGGTATTTATCTTCTAATGCACAACTGATTTTAACCTATGTGAAATTTTAACCCATGGGAAGACATTCCTGCCTTTTTCCTTAGAAAGGAATCTGCCAGCTCAAAAGCCAGCTCAGCGCCCCTGATAAATGGAAACACAAGCAATGATCTTCATGTAGGACTCTTTTTGTTTCTATTCTGCTGTTCTGTGGCCCTGGTTGAGCTTTTTGCCATAATGATTTGTCAAAAGACTGCAAAAGTGAGTGTTAAACTAAATGGAATGTTAAGACTTAACCTCACCAGGACCACTCCCAAATGGGATTCTTCTGGTATGCTCTGTCTCCATTACGTCCAGCATTATTTGTTCAGTCACCCAACCCGAAAACCTGAGGGCCAGTCATATTACCACCATGCCCCAACATCCAACCAGTGGTTGAATTTTTTCCCCTCTTGTCTCCTAAATATTTCTCAAACTCTTGTCGTGGCTGCCCTGAACATTTGAATGAACTCATTATTCCAGCCTTTCCCTCCCCAGATCCATCCCCCAGAGCTAGGGTGGACTGACTAAAATGTAGAACTCACCATATCATTCCCCTCTTAATCAGCATTTCATTCCCAGGCTTCTCAAGTAGATGAATGAGTGCCTCCCAGTGTGGATCAGAACCACAAGAGCATTCAAAGCCAAGGGTAAACATAGTGCGCTGCATTGACCTGGGGTTATCCGTTTTTCTTGCTAGTAAGTCATTTAAGACATTATATTCAGCAAGTATTTGCTAAGCACATACCATGTGCTTGGCATTGTTCTAGGTGCTAAGGAAACAGCAAAGAGCAAAACATAAAGCTTCCTACTACCCTCGTGGAGCTTCTGTTCTAGAGAGGACACAATGAACTTACTAAATATAGTATGTGGTATGTTAGAGCATGATGAGTGCTATGGTGAAAAACAAAAATTGAACAAGCCAAGAGGGATTGGAAATCCTGGGGTGGGAAGATGGATTGCAATTTTAAACAGGGTATATAGAAGGAAAGCCTCAGTTGGACCATGAGCTTTAAGCAAAGGCATAAAGAAGGCAAGGGAATGTGCCATCCAAGTATCTTGGAGAAGAGAGCCTTAGCCGAAGGAACAGCCAGTGCAAAGACCCTGGGGCAGAAGCATGTCTGTCATGTTTGTTCAGGAACAACAAGGAAGCCATATTCCAAAGGTGAGCAAGGGAGAGAGTAGTGGGAGATAAGGCTAGAGGTGACATTGGGCAGAGCTGTGATACGACCTTTTAAAATGACACACTGACATGTGGAGACTAAACCGTATGAGGTTGAGGGTAGAAGCATAGAGACTTGTTAAGAGAGGAGTGGCCAGATTCTGGATAGAGTCTTACATTGATAGAGTTCTGGATGGATCCTGACATTGGATATGATAGAATTAGGATGCTGTTGAAATTGTTGAAGAGTAATCAGAGAGTAAACTGGAATTGGGTGGGTGGTGGTAGAGAAGAAGAGACAGGTTAAAGAAATAAAAATGAAGTCTTGCAGGGCCAAGGTAAATAAGTATATCCTAAATTCTCCCATCTAGCTTTCTTTGCAGAAGGGTTGATTGGTTTCTTGCTTGCTTGCTTTGCTTTAAAAAAATTTTTTTTTCCAGTTTTTGATTTTTTATTTAGGAAAGAGAATCTTCAAGCTATGATCTGGGACTCTATATTAGGAGTTGGATTAATTAGAAAGGCAGTAAAAAATTGTAGTGAAGTCAGACTAATCTGGGTTATCTTTATTCTGTTTATCAGTCTTGGGAAGTTATTTGAGCTCCCCATGCCTTAGTTTCTTTGTGAAATGGACAAATAAGAACCATTTCATAGGTTGCTGTGAAGATTAAATGAAAAAATGCATGTAAAGCTCTTAACATGCTGCCTGCACGTAACAGTCAGTAAGTAAATCCAGTTAATTTGGTCAACAAAATGTATGACATCCATTTAGAAGGCTACTTTACTTTTTCTTTTGTCATTAATACTGTTAGCCTGACCCTATTAGTGTAGTTGTTTTTTTTTTTTCTTCAAAATTTAATGTCACTGCTTTATTTAGTGTCTGGAATGCAACACTAGCAATTTGATGCTTAACCAACCAAATGTAATAAAAAGACACTTCCTGCTAAATGAGCAGATGTTAATTTGTCCAGTGACGATAGCTTTTAACATGGTGTGTGATTGCTGTATGTCCTTCCACATTCACATGCACAGTTGTAAATAAAAAAGACCTATTTTTAAGTAAGGCACTGTGGAAACAAGACAAGATCAATGGATGGTTGCTGTCTTCTAGGCAATTATAAATCAAGTTGAAGAGGAAAGAGGCGCTCAGCAAAAGATGGCAGCCAGCAGCCAATGTGTAGTTCAGGCAGCCAGGGCTGTAGGAGGCCAGAAGGAGAGAACCACCTGTGCCAAAGTGACCGGATGCTTCCCAGTGCAGAGGGCTTCCTAGGGAAACCCCACCGGGTATGGCCAGTCTTCCTCCTTCCACTCAACAAAAGCAGAGGCTCTGAGAAAAGGGAGAAGGATCTGGGAGTGGTCCGATCGGAGACTAGATTGTTAGAATTGACTTCAAATATACAGAGGGGGCCAAAAAAAAACATAGACACATTTTAAGGAAGGAAAAAACTATGTTAAAATTGTAATAATATATACCGATAACAAAAAACGAATACAAGTCAGGTGCATACATTTTTTTGGCACCCCCTCGTATATATGTGAAGTGAAAATAGAAAAACTTAGTGAGTTTTGTGGGTTTTTTTGTATTCGTTATTGCCTAAGAGAGAGGCAGGGAGGGAAACTAATAGTGTGTATTGTAGGTGTGTGGAATTACAATGGAGGCTGGTTAGTTGGTATGGGCGAGGGGCACAGAGATGGCTTCAGTGATACAGGAGGACAGCTGGCACGGAGGAGTCCCAGTGGGCCTGTAGGAGCCGGGGCCTCCAGTGTCCTGGATCGTCATTCCAGGGAATTTTGTGTGCAGTTGTCAGGACAGGTGGCTAACAGCTCTGCCAGGATTAGGGGAGAACAGGCCACACCTGCTATCCATAGAGATCTGATGACAGTGGCCCTGGGCTGTGAGTTTTTCTTGGTTCTTCAATCAGCAGTCTCTCTCTGCAGGCCCCAATCCAGGCTCACATCTGGCAACTAAATCCTTTTTATCTGTTTATTTTGGGAGATAAAAACTATGTAGCCAACCCATTCCAGGACAGGTCTGACTGGCCATTTCTTGAGTTGGAAAGAAATGGCCAGTGTAGCGAGGTCCTTAATGGGCAGAAGGAGGACCTACACTTATTCATGACCATTAAGTGCCTGTCTTGGTCCCCTGTCTTCCTCACGTCCCCCTCCAAACACAGGATGGCCATGAAAACGCTTGAACTAATTTGTGGATCAACTCTCCCATGCCTATTACACTGCTTGAAATTCCAGACGCTACCCTGGTCCTTAGACTGGAACCTCCAAAGTTTAGAGTTTGCTGATATCCCCAAGGAAACTTGTTCAAAGTGCAAAATTCCTGAGATTCTGATCAAGAAGTTCCTGCCTTGAGCCTGGGAATTTGCCTTAACACCCTCAGGCAAACATATTTCCTCCATTTTTTTTTTAACCAATAAGTAATTTATTTCACGTTGCAATCCTGGTGTGTATCTGAAACAGAAATTTCACAAAACTATATTTCCCCTTACTAAGCTATGTCCTATTCTGTTCCATTCCATTCTTTCACAAACAGTGCTCATCAGACTAAATTTGATGTTGTGACTCATCCATGAATCTCAGCCTGCAGCTCCCAAAACTCAGCTCCGTTAGAACCTTTATGGGACCCTCCCAGGCATCATTCTTTGCTCTGTAGCTTCCTTTCATTTATTCATTCAGCAAAGATTTATTGAGCATCATTCTAGACATTAGGAATACAGCAGGGGACATAACAGGCAATAGACCCCGCTCTCACAGAGCCTCTATACTGTACCTTATTCTCCAAGTCCCAATTTTCATGGTTTCTCCATTGCTCTTCCCACACCCCATGCATAAGCAGGACTCTCACAGAAATCTAGGGCTCTGGGGCTGAGGGGGTCATTGAGGACCTCTGTTTTTTGTTTTGCTGTGTTTTTCATTTTTTGGTTTTGCCCACCTAGCCAAAAACAAACAAACAAAAAAACCCCAAACACCAAGAGCTAGCGCAGTCTAGTGCTTTCTCTTTATGCTTTGTGGGAAGAGAGAGGAAATCTCATCTCAGATGGCAGAATCTATTAGTAGCTTCCCAGAAAGGAAGTGTGATTACTACTACTCAAAAACAAGCTAGCAAAAGCAAACATGAGGTGAGCCCCTACCCTTGAAAATGCACAAAAAACAGTAGGTGTGAGCAGCAGTGCCTACTTACCCTTCAAGAGTAATTTATCTATGCTTAAAGAGAGGAGCAATTTTAAGAGTCTAAGTTTTGTTTATAAGTAAGATTACTTTGGAGTTTTAATTTGAATTGGAGTGTAGGTGATATTCCAAGAAATAAATATGTCCAGTAAGAGGAATCACCGATCATGCAAAGATCTAATGCACAGAAAATTCTTTCATACGTGGCTCTTTCCAGAGGAGTGTAAGAGGCATGGGCAGTGAGGAGGTGGCCGCAGTGGACAGCTGGGTTTGTGCCTGACGGATAAATGGAAATGGCGATGGCTGAGGGTCATGACTAGCAGGTTTGTGAATCCAGCCAGTTTTCCCCCATTCATGGCTCAGAAGTATGTTTAACTGCTTCCATGTTGTTGAAGACCGGAGGCCATGGGCTGGATAATGATTTCCCTTACACTGCAGGGCTGTTGTGCAACCTTGGAGGGTTTAGAAGAGGCGAGTGGTGGAAAGACCTATTCTGGACTTTCTCTTCCGCTCTGGGCAAACGGACCAGGCAGCAGTGTAGTCAGGAATCCAGGAAACAGATGGTTGATGTTTTGAGAATTAAATATGACAAGTCAAATTAGATTAAGCATATCACAAGCCTGGATATCATCCGCTAGAGCAGTAAAGACAGACCTGTACCCCATCTGCTTGGACAGCAGCCAGTTTCAGGCTGTGGCACCCCCACCCAGGGGCCCTAGAATCACTGCCTCCCTGTGGTTAACTAAGTGGAGCCTTGCATCCTGGGCTGCTAGCTGAGGCTGTGCATTTTCTTGGCCATTGCTCCTTCCATCTGGTAGCCAGCACACTGATAGCTCTCAGCATTTTGTTTTGCGCCCTCTCCCCTTTGCCCCTCCCTCCCAGCTCTGATTGATTTCTTTTTTTTCCATAGCAAGTCAGGTTTAATTCTCTCCTTTCCTAAAGTTGTAGACCATCAAGTACCCAGAACAGGGAGAGCACAGAGTTTTAGAGCATCCTGGGATAGAAAGAGGGCACAGCCCAGAATAGAAAGAGTCAGACCTGGGTTTGAATTCCCGCTCTGCCACCAGCTAGTTGTGTGACCTTGTCCCTTTTGTCATAGGTGCATCTTCTGAAGTCTCTTCTCCCACCTCAAAGGCTACTCAGGTTCTGACAGAGGACATTCCCTTTGTGCCCTGAGGTTTTGTCTTCAGCCACATCTCCCTCATCCCCCCAAATGCCAACAGTGCCGTGACATTCCTTTGCAAGTACTGTATCCCCACCTGCAGTGCCCTCGGCCACCTGCCTGCAGACACCCACCTCTTAATGACTTTCTGCCTTTACTTTGGGGTGTGGGGTTTGGAACAGATGGAGCAGACCCATGTTTGCCTCATGACTCTGCCTCTTAGTAGATGATATAACCTTGGTGAGATTCTTCAGCCCTGCTGAGACAAGTTTCCTCATATATAAAATGGGACAATACGACTCTGTACACAGTGTTGCTGCAGAGATTAGTCAGCATGCTTTAATAAATGCCTGAGGCTTTCAGGGCTTTCAGTGAATGGCAGTTTTAAATGTCGGGTTATGTATTTGTTTATTAGTTCATCTCCCCGGGAGGCCGTTGGGCAGAGACTAGGGCTTACACTCAGCTGCCAGCTCTAGTGCATTAATTAAGCACCCAGGAACATTTGTTGAAGTGGAGCCATTGGCAGACCTTGTCATTTCACAAATGAGCAAACTGATCATAAAAGGCCAAGAGTGTTGCCTTCATATAAAATAAAGCCAGCATTCTTCTCTCGGCTGTCAGTCATTCCTTTGTGAAATATCAACTGAGCACTCTGTAATATGCATTGCCAGGCTCTATCCTAGGCACGGTTATGCAGTAGTTAACTGGTTAACAAAGGTTAACCTGTCACGCAAATACAGATTTAGCACATGCACATTTTGCATAGGGGAAGAGTAAAAGACATAATGGACTTAGCAAAGATTTTCCGAATGCCTGTTATATGCCCAGCATTATGCTAGGTGCTGGGTGTGCAAATCTGGGCACAAGGGCTCTGGTGGGTACCTGGGAATGCTCCTCTGAGGAAGTGACGTTTAAGCTGAGCTCTGACGGACAAGTAGGAGTTGGGCAGATACAGATGGAAGTTGCAGGGCAAAGCCCTCCTAATTCTATGCTTATTTTACTTGCGTGGCTTCATTCCCTGGCTTTGCTGTCTTCTGCAAATCTCTGCATTCATTGCTATGCTGAATTTTCCTCCTAGCATTTTAATTACCTATCTCTTACTGTTCTTCTCATTGTTCCTGATTTCTCATGTCTTCACAATAAAATAGGAAGCACCAAGTTCATTAATTTTATTTCTCCTGCCCTGCACTTGACAGCAAGCCTCTCTAATTTTCCACCCCCAACCCCCATCTTGAGTGGACTCTTCAGTGCCTTACCCATAGCCCCTTGGAGCTCATCATTTCCTTGGACGCCAAAGGCTTTCTCCTGCATGCAGATGGGACTCTGCTTCAGGGCTTTCTCTGGGCAGGTGTGCTTGGGAGTTAACATTCCAACCTCCATCCCAGAAGCCCCCAACCAGTGACTGACCACAGTTGCTGGATTCATACCCCAGCATTCGTGCCCTTAGCTGATACTGCTCCGGGCAGGTCTCCTGCGGTCCTCACAGATTTGAACCCCAATTGCCCATAGGGTAGGTAACCTGCTTATTAACAAGGGAATCGGCTTCCTTCCCTTTCATATCTCTCTCCACTCTTTCCAGGGCTCACTGAGATAACTCCCCAAATAAACTACTTGAATTCAGATCTCACGATCTGATCTGGGGATCCGAGGCTTAGATAGAGGGCGATTTCGGGGTCTTGGTAAATCACAGCATGGCCCCCTTGTCCAAACCCTGCTGAGAGTTTGGGTGTTTTCACAATTGAGAGGATGAGTACTTCGATTAGCGTTAAATCTCCATTTCAAGCTAAATGTTGTGTATTCTTTAAGCGCATAAAAGGAGTTAATAGACTTGACAGGATAAAAGAAGGGCGGTGAGCAAACTTTTTTCTTTCCTGTCGAAGGTGTTTCGTGGGACTCCCTTCCAGATGAGCTGCTCTTAGGCATCTTTTCCTGCCTGTGCCTCCCTGAGCTCCTCAAAGTCTCCAGCATCTGTAAGAGGTGGTATCACCTAGCGTAAGTATTTTTCACCCCTTTTGGTATATGTGGGGGAGGAGGCAGAGAGAATGGTTATTTATCCATTCATTTGGGTCTGGTGAAACTATCAACCTAGAAAAATATAGTAGCACAAAGCAAAGTATCTTCCTATTATTATTAATAATTAGTGTCTTATTTCTGAGTGGAAGGGAGGAATCTCCTAGAGGTGAAACCTTACCCCTTTTCTGAAAACCTCTTTGCCCTGTATTTGGTGTAGCGCACGTTTATTGGACACTGACTCTGTGTACTAAGAGTGAAGGGCGTTTCAGGGGTGTGTGAGGCACAGCGGGTCCTCACACCAGGTGGGCTGGGTGGGGAGGACACGGAGCTGTGGCTTTAGAGCAAGTGTGAACCCAGCCCCTGCCACTGAGGCTCTGTGTGACCCAACTGAGGTTCTCGACACTTCCAAGCCTCGTTCTCCCACAGATAAAAGGGGGATAATTGTGCCTTCAGGACAGGACAGTTATGAGGATGAAATACAAAGATGGTGCCAGTACAGTGCCCGGCTCGTGCAAGTGTCCAGCACATGGCAGCTAACAGTTGTTGGGGTTTTATTGGTTTTTGGGCATCACCTTTGAGGTGTGGAGAGTGAGCTGCACATGGGAAGCCTTGGGGAGCTGGGAGGTGGTAACAGGCCAGATGTGGGGGAAGAGGCTTTGCTTCTCAGCTTGAACATTTTTCCATTTTCAGCCCTTGTCGTCCCCTTCCAATCCCTGGCCACCTATCTCTCTTCTCCCTCCACGTTTCTGGGACTCTGATTGTGAGACAGCAGGGACCCCTTCCCTCCCATTCAGGGGTGTCTTGCACATAAGACACCCCAGGTATTTACAGGAGTGGGCTCTTTGCTTAGAAGAGCCACCGAGAAGTTTGCATACCTGGAACGAGGGAGCAGGTAGTGGCTGTTTCACTCATCCCCACCCAAGTGACCCCCGTTTTGATTGTGTTTTTCCACCAGCCGTCTTTTTCACATAGAGTCTATTAATCTTCATCTCAGTTGTCATAAAAGTAATAGCTGATATTTATTAAGCACTTGTTATGTGCCAGGCACTGCAGTCCTGCCTTCTTAATAACAGAGGTCAGATAACACATCATCAGTTCCTTTATGCAGAAGTATCTCAAAGCCCTCGCTGGCGGTCTGCTTATTTCAAGTGGTATTAAAAATTAAAATTCTAGTGGGCATTGAACGTGTTCCCTCGAGTGCTTGAGCTCGTGTTTTCTTTTCTGTTAAATTGAATTACCTTGAGGATGTTACAGCTCCTTCACTGTGTGTTCAGTTCATTCTGGTACCTCCTTTTTGCTTTAGAAACGCTGTCCAAAATATAAGTGGTATTTTTCCCTTTCCTTTCACATTAGTTCATATATGCACATACATTTCTGTTCATATATATATTATATATATTTAATGTAAAAGATACTGTGAAACATAGCTGAACTAGGACTTTTTCCTACTAGATGTCCAATAGCCATACCTCGTGATAAAGTAATGCTAACTTTCCTTCTTTAGGTTATATTTGCATATTATTTAGGGTAATCGTGGTAACCTGTTGTTGCTTAACGAAAATGGCAAGTGGAGTCATTTGGGCCGTTCTGAACCTACTCACCTCGTCAGGACTCAACTAAGCAACCTGAACAGTCATTTCTAAAGTCCTGAAATTGAATTGAGTGCTGGAATTCTATTCTGTGAGTCCAGATCATTGCGATGCTAGTGACAGCCCTGAGCCACTCTAAATTAGAAATATGTATGACGGGGAAGAGGGAAGCTTATCCATGCTGTGACCAAGAAGTATTCAGTAGTGCCTTAAAAATACTGTAGCCTATTTATAGCCAACTTAGGAACAAATGTCTCTTCAGAATTTGCTGCAAGGCCATCTATTGACCATGTCCGCCTTGTTATAGGAGGAATGTGTTTCGCGCCTTCAGCATCAGGGCCCCCGACTGAACAAAATCAAGCACCTCCTCTTTTCCAGGTTTGACGAGTCTCTCTGGCAGACCTTAGACCTCACAGGTAAAAACCTGCACCCAGACGTGATTGGGCGCCTGCTGTCTCGAGGGGTAGTTGCCTTCTGCTGCCCACGATCATTTGTGGACTCACCATTAGTTGAACATTTCAGGTAAAAAAAGAGAAATCCCCCGAAAAGATTATTTCTAAATCTTGAGGTGAAAAACAGATCAAAACTTCTTTATTTCTATGTGGTCAGCCTTACATAGTCTATGACAGGTCATCTGTGCAGTGTGGAATGTTAATTGTATATTTTGCTGAGTGGCCTTAGGGTTGAAACATGGCACAGGCTTCAGTGACGCCATTCCCATTTTAACTCAGGGTTACTAATGGGCTCTTCCCAAGATCAAAGATGCATAGTAGCTTCTGAAGTAGGGTCCTCGGCCGATGGGCCTGGTGAGTCCCGTGAGGCAGGAGCCAGCCAAACACTGAGCAGCACACACAGGGCAGCCTAGAAAAAAAGTATGAGGAATCTTTTCAGACTTTGGAGCTCTGGGTTTCTGATCCTGTCATGGACAAAGTTGCAACCTGAAGAAATGCCCTTGTGGGGCTGCCAGTTAGCTCAGTTGGTTAGAACGCAGTGCTCACAACACCAGGGTTGCCGGTTCAATTCCCCACATGGGCTGCTGAGCTGCACCCTCCACAACTAGATTGAAACAACTCAACTTGGAGCTGATGGGTCCTGGAAAGACACTGTTCCCCAATTAAAAAAAAAAAAAAGAGCTTATCATGCAATTCAGCAATCACACCCTTGGGTATATATCTCAGACCAAAAAAAACAAAAACAAAAAAAAAGAAAGAAATGCCCTCTTTGTTTGTTTCGTAGAACATTTTGAAAAAATATTTCCCTGTTACTGATAGTTTTGCAGTATGGCTTAGTGCTATCTCAGACTTGAGTAGAATGACTAGATACTGAACAGAAAAAGAAGCTAAAGACAGCAGAGCTAAGGAAAAAACGTCCATCCTGACTCAAATGCTTTTCCCCTTCTCTCCATGATCAGATGGCAGCACTCTGCTCACACTGGTTTTCATCCTTCTCCTGCGGCTGTTCCTTCTCGGTATCCTTCACATTTTCCTTTGTTCACTCCAGGGTCTGTCCCTAGCTGCCTTCTTTCTTCATCCGCACACTCTCCTTGGACGAGCTGCATCCTATACACCCACATACATGCCGGGACTCTCAAACTCATCCATACTTCAGCCCTGCCTTTCAAACAAACTCCTGTTTCTAATGACGTAAAACTTCCATGCCTGAATTTTCTCCAAGTACCTCAGCATTAGCACATCTAACATTAAACTCAGCCATGTTTTACCACTTGCTCTTCCATTATCTTCCCTGTTTTGGTAAATGCCACGGCTGTCCACCCCTCATCCTCGCCGGAAGTCATCATAGGCATCAGCTCCTTGTCACCCACATCCAGCTCATTCTCATGGTGCCCACTGATTAATTTCTAAGTGCGACTATATCGGCAGCATCATCTTGACTTGGCAAAAGTCCTCTTAAATTTTACAATGAACAAGGATGAGAATGAACTAGGAGCCATTTGTTTTATGACCAAAACTATAGCTAGTACTTCACATGTGCATGGAGTGTCTTGTTTGGCTGCTCACTAGCGGGGAGGGGCAGGAGGATGAGTTAGATTTGCTCTGGATGTATGTGTGAGCCACCTTACAGAGCCTCTCTTTTTCTCTTCTGTGCTCAGCCCTTTTCGTGTACAGCACATGGACCTGTCAAACTCGGTCATCGATGTGTCTACCCTCCATGACATCCTGTCTCTGTGCTCCAGGCTGCAGAATCTAAGCCTGGAAGGCCTACAGCTGTCGGATCCCACTGTCAAGTGAGTGGCAGCCGGGGACATGTCACAAAGGCAACTGTTGTCCTGTGTGTTAATTTCATTTCCTGAGTATAGCTATGGTGCCCTTCCGTCTGTAGCCAGAGGGACTCAAAAAACATCCAGTGCAGTATTTCAGCTTCTGTATAACTTTCCAGGACTCATGTAGGCAACCAAAGTGTGCATGCTAAGTGTATGCCTGGCCTTATGCTAGGTTCTAGGGATACAAAGATGATGTCTCTCCCTGCCCCGTTCATGGGAGAGACAGATAATTACAGTGCAACATGTTTGTTAAATGTGTTGGTGGTGAATATGTGGCAACACATAGATTGGCCTAATTAAATTTAGGGAGGGCCACCTTCTCGGAGGAAGTGACTCTTAAGCTGAGTATTGAAGATATTCAGGTAGGAGATGTCCACGTGATAGGACGAAGGAAGCAGTCTAGGCAAAGCTGTCTCTGTGTGGTTCTAAACTCGCGAGTAACTGGGAATTGCTGGAGCATAGGGCTCAGTGAGGGGAGTGATAAGAGATGAGGATAGTCGAGGGCCAGCTCGTAATGGGCCCCTGCCATGCTGTAAAATGCCTGGACTCCATTGTGGGCTATAAAGAGGGAAGCATGGTGAAGAGAATGATTCTGATCATGGAAAGAACATTGGCAGAGTTGTAATTTAGAAAATTAACTCTCTGGGCACCTCGGAGGGACAATCAGACGTGGGAGAATCTAGACGAGTTAGAGCATTGTGTTTGTTCAGGTGAAAAATGATGAAACCTAGTGTAAAAAAAAAGAATAGAGTAATAATAATAGCAGCTGACATTTATTGAGCACTTACTATGTGCCAGATACTAGTTCCTTAAAAGTACCTTCATGTACTTCTCACACAATGCCATAATACGGTATATGTTCTTAGTGTTCCCTTTTTACATATGTGGAAACCAACGCACAAACTGAATAATATGTCCAAGGTCACACAGTTAGTAGGTGGCAGAACTAAGATTTGAACCTGGCAATATAGTATAATTCTGGAACTCTTTCTTTTAATCACTGAGTTTCCCTCACCTGAGACATTTGGGAATGTGGAGAAGAGGGCAAATTGGAGAGACATTTAATTGAAAGAACCTGGTAACTTTAGAAGTAGAAATTTACTTAAGTTAATTCCAATTATGAGTGAAATGGAAATGTGTGTATTCCATTGCTTTTTTAAAAACTTTTAAAAGTACATTGATGAATGTTTCTTGTATACTTACTCTGTGCCAGGCAGTGTGCTGAGCCCTTTATTACATTATATCACTTCACTTTAACAACTCTACCAAGAAGGCACTGATATTGTCATTTCACAGATGAGTAAACTAAGGCAAAGCGTCCTGCTCGGTGTCATACAGAGAGTGAGGCGTGAATTTAAACTTCTGACTCCAAGGCCTGCCTGCTTGACCATTTCACTAGCTTGCTTTCCTCAGCAGCTTGTTGAGCAAATAAGAGTCTTATTGGTATTCTTCAGACATTTTTCTCTTTTTCCAGTAATCTTGCGCAGAACTCAAATTTAGTGCGACTGAACCTCTCTGGGTGTTCTGGATTCTCTGAATCGGCCCTGAAGACTTTACTGAGCAGCTGTTCCAGGTAGGAAAGATTTGAGACATGATTATAGAGCTTACATGTTTCAAATGTACAATTATCCCTCATAGCTGAATAGAATTGGGAAATTTCTTGAGCTATTCCTAACTCTAAGCTCTTGGTTTGGATAATGCAATAATATCCTTTGCCCTCTACACTTTCTGTCCAATCTCAAGAGCCAAATTGATTATGTTTGCAAAGGATACTTGTGTAGTGATCCCTTTTTCTGTTGTTACTATTTTTTTTTT